AACAATTTTGGCACAGTAAATTTTTTTGTCAACCGCGAGTTGACCATTTTTAACAAACTTATTCATATTGATCACAACTTTTTTTAGTGCTGATCGACACAGTAAGGACCTTTTCATTGTATGGGACGAAAAAAAGGGACAGCAGAGGTTGGTGAAATTTAATAAAATTGTATTTTTCACAAAACGGTATAGTAAATCTTATCTCTCTCTCTAAAAGAGAAGTTTTAAGCCATTTCCATCTTACGTAGGTAACGTTATGGTAAATGCAATAAAGAATTGAATTGAAGAGTGATTAGCCTTAGGGTCGTATTCTAGAACTATGCTCAATGCTCAAGTTAGGATTTGAGTATGGTTTAAAGCACTTGATATCATACTCAAGTCCCTGCCATTAGGGTCGTATTTCCAGAGCTTGTGTTGCCAGTGCAATCCTGACTTGAGCATTAAATAGAGTTCTAGAATACGACCCTTAGCCGCGCGTGTGTAACCGCTCGAAGATGTATGGTGTATTCGAACTTTTAATAAATTTAATAGTAGCATGATAAGTAAGAAGGCTTATTATTATTAGTTTTGATTTACAACCGATAATGATGCCTACATTAGATTGGTATAAAATGAGTGCACTGAGCTGCTGTTTGTGAACTAACAATCAACTATTATAACAAGTTTTCCTGTGTTGAGAAACAATAATTTCTGACAACAAGAATTTTGTCTTTTTTATCTGTAGGTACGTGCGTTTGTGCACGCTAATCTCCAGGATAGCTGAGTCCATTTCGACGTGGTTTTCAGTGATATATTGATATATTTATTTGAATCGGTGTTGTTGATATTAAAATGCGTTTCGCGTTTTTTCGCGTTTCGCGTTCGGAATGACGCATGCAGTAGCCGGAATTCAGTGCTTGCTTTTTGTTGCAAACAGTTGGTTGGATATGGCAAGCTACAAAAATCTTAGTCATTAGTAGATCCATAAAAAGGTCAATGACACGATTTTTATATTTCAGATACAATAACGTTTTCTATGATAAAATTGAATTAAAAATTAATAGGTTATCTTTAAATGTGTTTGTTAGATAAATATGTTAATCCTTATTTAAAAGAACTTTTGTCATGCGGGGAATTTCATGAAGATAAAATTATCTTTGTCTAATAATTATAAAAAAACGAATGGAGTAATTTCACAAAAAATAATTGAATATCATGGTGGTAAAACGTCTTGGCATTCAATAAAAACTTAATTACTATAATGGATTTAAATGTAATTTTATTTAATTTGATAAAATGCTTAAAAAGTAAAATATGTACTTATTGCACGTCGCTTTCATAGCTAAATTGAAATAAGTCGTAACAAAGAAGAAATACTGGTTCTGCCATCCGCTAACTAAAACGCTAAGTGACAAAATAATTTTTTGAGATATTAAAAAAATAGTAATAAAAATTATTTTGTCACTTTTAGAATATGTTCGTTTTAGAATATGTTTTAGTTAGTGTACGACAGGGTTATTAAATTGACAACTCTAGTCAACGGTAGCAAAGGTACTTCCCTGAATGACGAAAAAACTTTCATAGATTTCTTAAAGATGGCGGTAAAAAATATTATAAAATTATGTCATATTATTAAACAAATCACTGCAGCAGGCTCTTGGTATAGTTGACAAAGTTTTATTTATTTTATTTTTATTGTAATGGTACAAATTACAGATTACAACATTGTTTTGAAACAAAATTAATTTAAAAAGAATCATCAGTAAATCTGCATTCCAATTATAACTGTACACAGCATTCAGAAAACTATATAAGTTTTGTGCGATCTTACGAACAAAAAACAATAATAACAATATAGAAGGAATATAATTAATGGTTACAACAAATATCCCTATTATGTTCTACACATTCGGTAAATAGAACTATTTGCAGAAACATTATTACTTGCGAAAACCTGATTAGCAAATAATTCATTATCATTCGTTATACTTAAAAGAATAATATAATAATATAAAGAAGGGTAATATGTGTTCCGTACTTCCGTTTTGACGCATCTAAATATTGGAATGACCTTCCACTGTCAGTGTAAACAACTGAGTCATTTTCTGGCTTGAAAGGAAAATACATTAGTGGAACAATAATCGTAGTCTACACCCTTATCAGTTACTTTCCTTATTCGGTATCAGTTTGTACTAGACAGGTGCGCCGGTCGAAATTCAAATTTTTTTTTAACTTTATTATTATAATATGTATCATGTTTCCATAGCCTTAATGCATAGTTTACAAATATGGTAACCTACTTTTGAAATAGACTCGAAAGTCTCGCTTTTTTCCCGGAATATTCTTCGATTTTTTTGAAATAGAGCGACTCTAATAAGCGCTAGTCAGTATCTACAGGTGTAATCGTTAAGTGTACCCAGGCAATAATTCCGCAAATATAAGAGATATTAAAAACCTTCGATTCGAACCAACGTCATCCAGCAAACCGTGCCAGACGCTATGCCAACAAAGCCACGGGACGAACTAGCGGATCGAATTTCTGTTTTTGGTTTATATCGATGGAATTTTTACTTGGTATTCGATCTTTGTAATCTGTAATAATAATATGGACTTCTTCTTCATCGATATTATTTTTATAACTTTCATGTGATAAAAGCACTTGCACCCTTACGGCGTATGATCATATGTGGCTTTATTATACCAAGGGTATGAATTTCCATTTAAAGCCTTATTTCATACGCCTCAAGACACTTTTAGACTTTTGGAAGAATGTGAGGAAAGGATTTATATTAACAATCATTGCAAGAGCAATGGTAAGTCCAATAAGGGTACTGTTAAAAACAGGCATCCAGGCCACAAAAGAAGCCTTTTTCATGCCATAGATTAAAGAAATGCACGAGGTAAGAAAGGCAACAACACCAAAACAGATGTGGGTGAGCTTGGACAGGTTTCCAGGGATAATCCTGCTCAGCTCATACGCGTAGAGCGAAGTGAAGCCATTGATTAAACTCAATATTGTGAACCCCACGGCAACCAAACCTGTAAAAGATACAAAAATTAAAGCTTGAAGGTTAAATCGTGCAAAATAGCTGCGTGTTGTATGCTTAACGTTTCAGCGGGACAGTCCCCCTTTTAAGCTTCGTGTCCCACTTTTAAGGTTCGTGTCCCGCTGTTCCCAAAATACTTAACAATTTTCCAGCTTTGACAAAACAGGACGCAAGGACACTAATTTAAAAAAAAATGGCGCGAAAGCGATAAATAAAAAAAAAGCCAGCCCAGCAGACCACACAAGTTAAGTTCTTTTTTAAAATTTATGTCCATTAAACAATTTTAGTTCTTATTTATTGAGATTTTTTGAGGAAATAACTCCATTAGTTTTGTTATGATTATGAATATAGAGATCGAACACACAAAAACACAGGAGACTTTCGAATATTCGGTAACTTGACCCGTGGCTCAGATGTTAGAGCAATACTACGGTGCAGCATGTATGGACGTGAGTTCAAGTCCCACCGGGTCGATGAAAAAGTTTTTCTGTGTGTTCGATTTTTGTATTCATAATCATTTCTAGTTCTTTTTAATTTTTTTTAATAATGTGTTTTATTTTTAAATTTTTTTCCACGCACACGCAGACACACACACACACACACACACACACACACACACACACACACACACACACACACTTTTACTCTTACACTTTTACGTTTACCCATTTGCTGTCTCCACAAATTACTATTTTTTCTTATTATAGTATTGTATTGGTGTATAAAATTTTTGCATAATGTATAAATAAAGTAACGGCAATTGTATATTTTACTATGCCATTGAAAGGTTTGCTGGTACCTACAGCACAGGTTTTTCCTTTTTTAAGTACCAGCATACCATATGACCATATGTACTGATTATTTGATACTTACTTACTGTACACTAATACATGTTGTATTATTGTTATGGCAAATACGGAAAAAATATGGTCACGTTATGCATGCACAGAGCGGAGCATTCCAAAGCGCTTGTGTTGAATATTTTTTCATTTAGTTAGTTAGTTGATTTAGTGTAATATTCGCGCCCTCCCGCCGCATGAAATTCATCATCATCATCAACCTATTTATATGTTCCACTGCTGGATATGGGTCTCCACACTAGTTTAGGTCATAGCTTTCATCACAATGTTTCCTTCACCGAAAAACTACCGTAGTAACTTTCAAATTAAAGTTCGCACAAAAATTCCGAAAAACTCCGAGTCTGGATTGGAACCCAAAGCCTCTTGAGAGGTGGTAGGTCAAACCATCAGGTAACCACGGCTTGAAATTATTAAAGAAAATAACACAAACGCAACAATCCGCGTAGTAGGGCGCGTGTCCACGTTAAGTCGCCGGGTCTATGCAAGAATGCGTGTCGTTAATACACTGCCTCGGCGCGCCATACAAGAAAAAATCTCTACCACTGACGCGACGCGCTCTGTCGCTCTTGTATGGGGCGGGGTGAGGTGCATTGTCAGTAAACGAACGTTTATGCGCGTGTTGCTTAGAAGTCAACATAATACAACAACATATTTCTTCCCACAGTCGGTAGTAAAACGACAGCTACCTCGAAGACTCGTAATGCCCTGACACATTTTACCCTACACACGTCTGTCTGAAAGCATTCGTATCGTGTCAATACTCATTATTTTCTAGTTTGCAATAGACACGACATGTTTTCGTGGCTAGATCCGACAAAGTTCTTGTGGTGTACAAGACCATTTTTCATCTTTTATGTAGCAGACACGTCGAATTCCTAGCGTGTACACGCGCCTTTACTATTCTCGTAGAGAGACAAAACAGTTCTTCTTCTTCTTCTTCCTGTCCTTATCCCACGCTAGGCGGGGTCGGCACAACATGTATTTTTCTTCCACTCGTATATTTTTGGTGGTGGTGTCTGTGATTGCCTGAGAGGGGTCCCGTGCCGTAGAACGTATAGGTAGGTTGATGACGAACTCGGTAAAAACATACCAAACTGTCCATGATAACTAAACCAGTTGACGTTGTTGTCGATAGATTTCAAGACAGAGCCCGCTATGGCCAGAATGGAACCAACTAATTGAAGAATCCAGTGGACACGTCTTTTGTCCACCAAAGTGAAATTGGAAGCCCAGCTCCCTGGTGCTAAAGCTAAACAGGCTTCGGCCATGAGCAATTGGTACTGAAAAAAAAACCAATTAAAACATTAAGTATGGAAATAAAAGTAACCATAGTAACAATTAATTACGAAGTAGGTATACTTAATCTGTATTGACAAATTACACGGAGCCGCTTCATTGATTGAAGTATATCGTCTGTTTAAAGGTAAACCCACATAAGCGACATTTTCCACAAAAATGTTACTTATGTGGTTTTACCTTTAAGCAGACGATGTTATTGAAATATTTTTATTGAATATCACGATGTTTGTGAAAACTAACGCGGTAACACACATTATAGTATAAAAGTAACGGGACTTACTCGCGTAGTATTTTAGTCGGAAGCGGTCCGACTAGTTTCAACCATAATCGATGGTCTTCATCAGGGGTTGAGTGTAACGTTTGCGACCGCGTCACGTCTAGCACTTTTGGTTTTGAAGGGAAAAGGGTGCTAGTGAAATTATAGGCACGTGGGACTTGTCAACTTATGTCTCAGGTTGACGGGCGCAGTGGCGGTACCCCTCAGAACTTTGCGATTTAAAGCTTTGAATGGCACTGCAATAGATATAGACAGGCCTGTCGTTTACCACCAGGGGTACGACTTGTCCGTCCCGTCATTTGGTATTAAAAAAAAGTACTTACTCCAATGACACACACAACAATATGTTGATTAGTGGCGGTAAGAGGCAATCCGTTTCTAAAAGCAAAAGCCAGGCAGATACCGACCACGATTCCAATGCACAGTCTTCCAATCATGTTAAAAATAGACTGGCATATATGCCAGCCATAGTTCTCGTGATCTGACGGATTTGATTGCACCGCAGGTAAGCAAATAATTCGTGGCTCATCATAGGCTAAAATGTCAACTGGATTTGCTGACATTTTTCAAAATCACTTTTATAAAACAAGAAATTAAAAGCCTCAAGAAGAAGAACTTAAGAATAATGACTAGATACTGTGAGTCGTATATATATATAGAGACAGCGGTGGTTACGGTAGATTAAAAAATATTAGATAAAAATATTTATGTACTGTTTGTATGTATATATTGTATAATTGGGTATGTATACTCTGATCGCGCGGTCGCTTGGTAGGTACTGGGAACTGAAAACCCTCAATGTGTACACTTTGATCACGATATCAGTTTCACCTGCCCCATTGCTGTACGATTTGTCGCAACCGATCGCGCGATTTGAATCAACTGAAAAAATATTTCTAATAGTTTCCCAACAGATCACAATATATTTAATACGGTTTCAGTTTTTTGTTTTGAAACTATTAAAAAAACTATTAAACAATTGAAATTAATCAACGAAGTTATAATATTTGTTTATTTATATTATAAAAAATAAAGCCTATTAATAACTGTACCAAACTGTTCATAAAGCAGCAGGAGATCGAAGCTCGGTTTTCTTTAGGCGTTTTCTTTAATGAAATGTAATAAAACTAATCACGGTATTGTGTTATTATTGTTATATTTGAGAGGTTTTGTAGCAAATTTATAAATAACCAAGGAGAAAACGGTGTGACGACATCTAGGAGTAGACTGGACTTCGGTAAAGGAAACGCCTAAAGAAAACCGAACTTCGATCTTCAGCTGCTTCAGTTTAAGCAGGCACAAATCAAGAGTTAGCTAGCTTACAGAATATTAGATATGCTACGTAGAAAACATGGGCTAATTTCTTAGACAAAACAAAAGAATATGATGTCCATTCGATACAACACAAAGTGAAAACACTACGACGGAAATTTTCAAGGAACTGTTAAAATTTCGAAACAAAATTCAATCTCCCTTTTTCACACCGAAAACAACAGATGCAATGAACTTGTGATGTAGTCACATAAACTGAACTTCAACTACAAAATAGAGATGGAACGATTTGGAGACACTTAACGACACACTTAGATGAAATCGCCTGTTCTTTCTTTTTTTACATTGTCTATGGTATACATATAACCAGCCCTGGTAAGTTAAAAAGAAATAAATGGACAAAATCAGGAACTAATATACGTAATTTAATTTTTTTTTATCTCAATTTATCGTCTGTGATATATCTATTATAATTCAATGGCCTTATAAAATTTAGTTTTATCACTTTGCAGAATTAACTTTCCTCACCGATGAAATTACGTCGAGTATAGGTCGCTTACCTATTGTAATAAACTTTAAAAAATATTAGGATAGAAATGTTAACATTACATTAAAAACACGAATAAACTAACAATCTGATTTATAGATAGATAGAAAGAAAATAGATTTATTTCTTTACCACAGAAGAGAAAAAAACGAAACAAAACAGAAGAACATCAAAACATAATCAAGACGTAGAAAGAACGTAATCAATCATAAATAAATCATTAAGAAACAAAACAAAAATATACACACAAAACAGACACTAGGTAGGTAAAGGTCGACCTCGATTGATAAAAGAGATTTTAAAATCAAGCTCAAACAGTTATTAATACCATACCAGGCCGAATTGCCCATGGGCGGCCGTGTTGGTCTTACTTTTTAACCGATTTAAAAAAAGAGGAGGTTCTCAATTCGACTGTATGTTTTTTTTGTATGTATGTTACGCGATAACTCCGGTATTTGTGAACCGATTTTCATGATTCTTTTTTTGTTGGAAAGAGGGTACCTCCATAGTGGTCCCATTTCATTTTGAAGAAAATCATCCACCTCTAAGTGTCACGCATGAACTTTCATTTTTATAAATAGCGCCTAAATTTTACTTAAGGAGCAATTATTTTAATGATTGGTTTTGCTATTCTCCAATTTAAGGCGTTTTTCTCTCTCAATATACTTTGAGTAGTGAGAACCGATTTTTATTATCTCCTGCGTCAAGTCCCGTACAGTGGCGAACTAAAATATCCCAATATTTCAATAAAACTTAGCAAATAGACGTAATTCCACGTACTTTTGAGGTCGGTTTTTTTAGTACTCTGTACTGAGATTATTCGGGGTAATAGTTTGGCTGAGAGGGTATAATATTTATTTTGGCATTTAGTATAAGCATTCTACTATTTTATTATTTAATTTATCATGTTTCTGTACATATTAATTTACATTAATAAATCATAATATTTAATAATAATAAAATAATGAGGAGCAACACTCGTGATTTTATCACTTTTTCCTAGCGTCGAGCTCTACGGGCAATACTGAAAATAAGCGCTGTGGTAGGTTATTGCATGCCTAATACGTGGGGCGCACTATAAGTTTCCGGAATGAATAAGAAAAAATACTATAATGGTCAGAAATAAATTTATTGTTTCTCAAAATATTCTCCGTTAGCGTTAATGCACTTTTTCATACGAATGAACCAATTTTGAAAACATTTATGCCACTCCTCCGTGACAATCTCTGAAACATATTTTTCATATTCTTCGACAGCCTCTTCAGGTGATGAAAATCGTCGACCGCGTAACAGGTTCTTAATTTTTCGAAATAAATAAGTCACAAGGTCGGGATTGTACGCAGGATGGCTCGTAAGGTCAACGTTGTTCACCTTTAAAAATTCGTTTATCTGTCTGGCCGTGTGAGAACTGGCATTATCGTGGTGCAAGATGATACGGCGTTTACGGTTATTTTTACGGAGATTGTCAATAACTTCCGGCAAACAAATGATCGTGTACCAATCACTATTCACGGTACAATGATTCTCCAAAGCAACAGTAGCCGCGTGTGCAGTTTTATTAAAAAAAGTAGCAATCATCCGCTTAGAGGCACTTTGCATGCGCGCCATTTTGGTTGGTTTCGGCTCATCTCGAAAGACCCATACGCTCGATTGCTGCTTTGTTTTGGGATCGTAACTATATAAATCCATGTTTCGTCACCTGTTACACTATGTCTCACGCCAAATTGGACGCCCCTTCGTTGAATCTGGTAAGCATGTCATTACCAATGCACCAAGTGACGCGATCCGTTTTTCGGAGCATCCAGTCAAATTGTGTAGGATCCACCGAGAGCACAGCTTTTTCACACCCAAATGTTTGTGTAGCATTGATTGTATTTGACTCATGCCTATGCCTAAAGATGCCCGAATCTCATGGTATGTCACATGCCTGTTTTGATCATACGGCGCACAGCATCGATGTTTTTGTCGTTCACAGCAGTGGACGGGCGACCATCACGAAATTCGTCACACGACCGCGTTTGAATTCTGCAAACCAGCTATAAATAGTCGTCTTGCATGGTGCTTCATCGCCAAAAACAGTTTGAAGTTTAAATTACACTTTAAGTCGTAGAAAATCATACTACGAAAATTTTCACGAGTTAAATCCATGGTGATGTAGACAACCAATTTCTAAAATGACGCCACAATGTAAAAACAAGTGACAGTCAGATGAAACAAACTGTATTCTACAGCCAAAAAGTTCCATTTTCAAATGTTGTAATTACTTTTTAAATATTGTTTATTATACTGCGCACTATGTAATTATTTGTATTTCAAGTGACCGGACGAACAAGTCGTGGGCCTGGTGGTAAGCTACACGTCTGGCCATAACTGTTGCAGTGCCTCTGAGAGCTTTAAATCGCAAAGATCTGACGGGCACTGCCAGTGCGCCTGTTACCCTGAGACATAAGTTGACAATTCCAATATGCCTATAATTTCACCAGCACCCTTAACCCTTCAAAACCGGAACGCAGTAATGCTCGTTACTGCTTGGCGGCAGAAATAGGTAAAGTGTAATGGCAGTACCTCCCTGGACGAACTCTTTGACAAGGAGCTTAGAATTGATACGAAAAACAAATGAATAAGGTAACACAGAAAATAGCACGTACTTTACGCTTACGTCTAACGATATCGGTGGCCCAACAATTTGCACTGTGGGCGCTAGATGAAGAAGTCCCGGGATCCATTCCTGGTAGAACCACTTTTCTAAATTGGTTCTGGTATGTATGTTCTGGGTAGTGCCCCGGAGTGACCATATAATTAGTGTGGTTGTTATTACCTATTTTTAAAATTCTAGTCTGCCACTTACAATAACAAATTTTTAATTATATACAGCGGACTTTCTTAATGAACATTTTCCTTCCTGGATCGGTACTGTTGGACAAATTAAATGGCCTCCGAGATCCCCGGATCTAACCCCGTTAGATTTTATAAGGATATGTAAAAGAGTTTGTTTACAGGAACCGGTATGAGAGTGTGCAGGAGTTACAAACTGAACTTAGACGTATTATTTTAAACATTCACCACGAAAAGATAAATAAATCAACAGGAAGCGAAATTATGAAAAGAGTGAGAATTTGTATACTACACAATGGGAGACATTTTGAACATTTGATAACTTAAATTGATTGATTGTAAATTGCAATTAAATGTACCTAATTATTTTAATTAAATTTCAATTCCATGGTCTTCCTTTTATTTAAGATGTTATGTTATTTAGAAGAAAACAATCCTTATGATTGAGTCTTTCGATCAGTATAATAAAATTACAGGTGGTTTTTTTTCACATTTTGCGGGTTCGATTCTCGGTTCAGAGAAGCGATTATTTAAAAATCTTTGAATGCAGTTCGAATTGTTTTTAAAATCAAAATGAAGTCTTCTTTCAGTAAAATGTTCTATCAATGGTATTTAAGGTACTTTCCCTCCATGTGGCATAGCCGTGGGACACCCTGTATATATATAACGTCAAATCTCATTCCTGTTTCAAGGTATTTTTTAACAATTGACTTCGCATTTGGGATGATTCAACATCAGAAACAACAAAAAAGAATTCCAGGATTCTTTTATCGTTCATTTCCCTTGTTTTTAGTATCAATCGCTTATAACGCCAATTAAATTTTACTACTTTGCCTTTATCGCTGTTATTTTTTATTAAATATACGATAGACAAAACGTTCATTCAACACAAACTTGCAATCACAACAT